TAGATAGATAGATAGATAGATAGATAGATAGATAGATAGATAGATAGATAGATAGATAGATAGATAATCCCACTGTGTGGTTTTTTCCCCATGAATGGAAATCTCTGAGGTCATGACCCTGTGGAGCAGTGGTGTAATTCCCTCTAACAGCTGAAATTACGTAACAGCCCGGCTGACAGAAGGCTTTTAGTAACCCATAGAGAAGGCTAGCTTCTGTGATCCGTAGACCTGCATGTGGAGACTCAGTCTGACCATCAAGTCCCTTTACAGAGTTTGAGGGAAGATCACTGTGTACTTTCAGTCCAGCACGATGTTTCAAGTGTTTGCACTGTGTTTGTGTATTTCGATTTTCTGCTACTGTAGAAGTCAACTTGACTACATTTTAGAAAATAATACTGTACTTTTCACTTCATTATCCTATATGATGGTCTAAATATGTGGCACTGCTTTAGACTAAACAACCCAACAGCATGAGTGAAATAAGAGTAAAATGCTACGCACACATGAATGCATCAGAAATAGTTATAAAATAATTGCTTAGTAAAGAGCATGTGTATTTGTGCATTTTTTTGCTCTGAATACTCGTATCTTTTATACTTGTAGTATATTTTTGTTAATAAAATGTATGTACTTCTACTTGAAACAGAGTATTTTTACACTGTGAGTGTTATTTTTACTTCAAATTATTTCTCGTCAACAGCAGCCTCAAATATAAACATGTAGCAGTGATTTAATGTTTGGGAGATCCTGTCAGCAGAAAAATCTACTTAAAATAGACAAACAATTGTTTTCCACAGTGTCTGGTTTAAAATACTCCCCCTCTTCTCCACTGGTGTTTTTATGTCTCAGTCAGTGTGTTGTTTTGGTCACAAACTGAAGGAAAAATCCTACATTAAATGAACGTTTGAGATGATATTATTTGCAAATCCTGGGAAATATTGATGAATTCAAGCACACTCTGATTATTATTGCAGCCTTCTGGCAAAGGACATGTAGTTTTGTGACAGTGACTGCACTTGTTGACCTGTTGCCCATGTGACCTGGAGGAGTCGCGGTGTATCTTAAGCCAGCCAGCCAGACAGACAGACAGAGAGACAGCGTGTAAATGGCTGTGATCCCTGTTAAAGCTGTAATAAGAAGATTCTGTGAATGAAGGATTAACTACGGGCTACCTGCTGAGAGGGGCTTTTGAGGATGGAGTGGTCAAACAGCATTAAAACTAATTTCCCCGGGTTGGAGGTCACGTCCAAGACTTTGTAAATCACTGAAAGGAAGATTAGAGTACGCCCAGCTGAGTACAGCGTGTAATCTGATAGTGCTGCTGAGACGAGGCTTCGCCCTCCATTCAGGATCCGTCTGGGTTAAGTGTCCAAGCCGTAGTGATTGTGTCTCGTCAAGATTAATTTGATTAATTTTGAAAGTCAGTGATTTGATTTGAGGAGACATTTCACATGGTCCAAAAGTGAAAAAAAGAAAGAAACATCTCCAGTGACAGAATTAAACTTATGATGAACTTTGAGAGCGACACAATGGTTCAAAGAGCCTAAAGCAACTTTTCTCATTCACTCAAATTATACAGTCACACTTTCAATAAGAGTAATTACAGCTGCACTGACTAAAGACTCATGGAGGATTTCTGTGATGTTCAAAGCCCACAGCAGACTGAGCTCTGGAGTGCACTGCCATTAGTCTGGAACCTGGGTTATACACATTTCCCTCAACTTATTTCTAATGGCACTTTCGGATCACGTATGTCAAATGGCCTCTTAATTGAAAGTGTCTTAATTTTTATATCCTAAAATGGAGCGTTGATGTTCCCAGGGGGCAGCAGCTCTTTAATTGGTGAATGAAAATTGGCTAATTAAAGCTGCCAAGTGTCCCTGTGACCCCATTGCCAGCTTGTAGCTCATAACACAAAGTGATAGTGCCGATATATGTGGTAGAGTCCAAAAACGGACACCAGAGCGGATAATTCAGATGCTTCTTAGTGTAGAGGATTGTTTTGATCAAGTTTAAACAGCTACCAGAGCTGTCCAATATTTGGATACACAGCACAAGAACAAAGATTAGAGTCGACTACACTCTAAAAGGAATTCAAGAGACCTGCTCCCACTGCTTAATTAAATGTATCGCAGCAAGATATCCAATAAATAATAAATTTACTGATTTAAATGAACTATTTAAGTTTCAAACATTGTTTTGATGGTCTGTGTTGACATGTTAATTGAATCAACTTAATCTTAAAATTTTGCATCAAACTAAATTCAAGTTGAGGTAACTTGGTAAACTGGTAATTAAAAACACTTGACTGTAGAGGAAAAGCTGATTCCTTTAACTTAGAAGTAGTTTGTTGGTAAAACACACTTTTAACAGAAGTTTTCTCACTCAAATATAAGGATGCAAATGCTGCATTAATTTGTTATGCTGAGTCCAAACATTGCACCCCGGTTCGAGACCAATAAGGACACGATGTCCTGTCCTGCTCAGGATACAACCAGCGACAATCACGTGACTCTTTACGCCTGCCAAGATCATGTATCGGTAGGAATTCAATTTATGATGCGCCTTAAAATACACATCAACACCAGCAACAGACTAAACTAGGAAACCCCCAGCATTATCTGTTCCTTGGCTTCTTCGCTGTAATAACTCGCTACACCGTGGAACTCGAATCTCAAGCACACTTAAGATACAGTAAATTACTTTTATGTCATCGTGGTAAATGGTCAAACAGCTCAAGGTCAGAGTTCTCAGCCACACCAGTGGGAGGCAGAGGAGGCTTGGCAGGAGATAAAAGTAAATTTAGAAGGTTGGAATAATCCACGTCACTACAGGTAATCCTGCCTGTTTTCTGCAGTCAGTAACTTGCGTAAATGTTCGACTGAAACACCAATATATGTCGAATACACCGCTGTAGCACCTGACCTCCTGCGTATCACTTTTCTGCAAGCGTGTCTGGATTGAAATATTGTCAGCAGGTCAACTTTCTCAGCTGATTTTGGCTCACTCCCAACTACAACCTGCAGCTCTAAGCTTACACTTCTCACAAGAGGCTGCCAAGCGGCTTCCTGAAGCAACACGATGGAGGACATGCACTGCCAGGACACTTAGGCACACTCGGTCTGTTACCGTACCCTTCACACGTGGTGTTACATTTCAAAACCAGGCAGGAGATTCACTCAGTAGGTTGCCTTTATTTTGTCTTTTTTTTCCGGCAAGGTTCCTGTGTTCAGGGAATGACATTCTGTCGGGGGGCAAAACAAAAAAGAGAAAGCATGGGCCAAGAGAAGAATGTGTAACTGATTCCCCCGGTACAACTAGTAGAAAATACTAGTTGGTCCCTATAAATATATAGCTCGGCATTTAAGTCCTTCCAAATGTACAAGATATGTTACAGTTAAACTTCACAACATGAACAGTGGATATATAAAAACAACTTAGATGACTTTCTTGAGCTCATCGTACAAGACGAGCACAAAGGCGCCACCCATGCCTCTGAGCACATTAGACCACGCTCCCTTGAAGAAGGCCTTGCTGCCCTCATCACGTGCGATCTTCTTCCAGCAGTCAATGGTGCCGCTGTACATAATGTCAGCTAAGGGTGGGAAACAAAATTAAAAAGATGTCACACCTTTGTTCTAGTAAAAGAGCAGCTAAAAACAGAAAGTTGCACTTTGATATGTCGTGGTTATTACCTCCTTTGCGTCCAGACTGCATCATCATACGACGACGGACGGTGTCGAAGGGGTAGGACACGAGACCAGCGACGGCAGTCACAGACTGAGCAATCATCCAGCTCACTACAATGTGTGTGTTCTTGGGGTCTGGAAGCATGCCTGAAAGAGAAAAGTCAACCAGGAAGGTTAATTAAAGTCTCAATAGGCATGAAAGCCCACTGAGAAGAGAGGCATCGAGCTTTGCAATGTCTGATAATGAAGCCTCACCCTTTGCTGTGTCGTAGATGCCAAAGTAAGCAGCTCTGTAGATGATAATGCCCTGTACTGAAACGCTGAAGCCCTGGTACAGACCCTTGATGCCATCTGACTTGGAGATTTTCACCAAGCAGTCTCCCAGGCCTTTGAACTCACGCTCGGCTCCTGCTTTGCCCACGTCAGCGGCGAGACGTGTTCTGGCGAAGTCGAGGGGGTAGACGAAACAGAGCGACGTGGCTCCGGCGGCACCACCGGATGCCAGGTTACCCGCAAAGTATCTCCAGAACTGCTTGTGCTTGTCTACGCCGTCGAGGAAAATCTTCTTGTACTTGTCCTTGAATGCGAAGTTGAGGGCCTGAGTGGGGAAGTATCGGATGACGTTGGCCAGATTCCCTCTCCAGAACGAAAGGAAGCCCTGCTCTTTGGGGATACGGACCACGCAGTCGACGATGCCCTTGTACTGCTGGTCAGCTGCGATCTGTTTGCTGGCATGTTGTACCTGTGATTGAAGCAGAGACACTAAAGTGCATTAGACACAAGAGGAAAAAGAAGCAGATCAAACTATTTAACTTTGTGTGACCTGTTAACCCTCTGACTTATACAAATTCCCGTGATTCTAATGTGTCTGCCTGAGACACATTTGCAATCATGTGCCAGGGAACAACTCTTTAAGGCATCCATTCAGCAATTCAAAGCCCCTCCTCCTCGTCCTGCTGCTTCTGCTGCTGCTGCTGCTGAGCCCAGGCCCAATGCAGCAGTGGAGAGTCATGGCGCAACTCCTGCTCTGACCTTGGCTGTTTGATATCAAGCCAAACTAATGACCTGTCATGGAAAAGGGGGACTTGTGCAGCCCTTGGTAGTTGTAGCCGGTCATGTGCGGCTGCTATAAGTGTGTGTATTTTGGTTTGGGAGAGACTGCAGCAGCAGCTTTCAGGCCAGTGTATTACGTAACAGGTCTGGTACGCCTCGATTATGCTCATTCCTCATCCCTGCCTGCACCAATCTCTGACAGAGCTGCTCCCATTTACTATTTTTGGCGCAGTTACTACTCCTGACAATGCAGCAACTTTATCTACACTGTTTTTTTTGTTTTTGTTTTTTTTTTACTCCTTACTACTCCTTATCTCTTCACAGCTTCTTAAAAGCATCTCCATCCTAATTTATCAACAGAAAAAAAGGAGAGGGGGAAAAATGCTGCAGTAGTACAGCATCACTGTTAACTAACTGCCAGCTTCAGCTAACGTGTGATTTGATGTCAGGTGCGGTGAAAACACTCACCTGGAGCAGCAGTTTGACTCTCTCGATGGGGGCTACGGCTGTTTTGGAGATGGCAGCGGCAATACCACCAGCCAAGAAGTCCTTGGCGAAGGAAACAGCTTGTTCACTCATCTTCAGATGTTGTCAGTCGCCGTCCCGTTACTCGCTCGGTGGGGTTTGCCGGTTGAGCAGAAATGGCCGAATCCAATCTAGAAGTGAGGGGATTTAAGAAGACTGAACGCGAGAAAAAACGTGAACTTCGACTCTCGCTTGTTATTGGACAGCTGCGGGGATAGTGGGCGGGGCGAAAGGATGCCCTTTGACTCGGATTTGGTGCTATGACCTGTCAATCAAGGTGAACAATACCGACCGTGACTTGTCCCACAGGAGGGAAAGTTAACTGTTGCTCGATAAGTTAGTGGATATAGTTTGATTTAATCTTCTACAGTAGAGATACTGTGATGCTGTTGGACTAAGTTTTTTTAAATTATGCTGAAGGTCGTGTCAAATGTCAGCCCGGAGCAGCTGAGGCCTTAAGGCTAATGTGGGTAAAGGTCATCCCATCTGTTTATGTCCTTTGGCTGTCACTCAGATTCCCACTGTGAGGAGGACATGATTCAATCAGCTGACTGAATCTACGCACAACCTGCCTCAGCACACTGATCCTGCCTTATTAACCAAATAACAATCAAGATGCCTGCTGTCACAAACTACCATTAAATGTACAAATAATAATTTGACACCAGAAGCGGCGAGTAAAAAACTTCAATAATTAATTAAAATATGCAAAAGCGCAAAAACAGTCAAGTAAAGTCATTGAAAATTATACGTAAGAAAAAGTAGTACCATCAAAATACATAATCAAAATATGCAGAATTCCCTGTTATAGACTAATATGAAGCTGGGTAGCTTGTCAGTTTCCTCTCAGGGATCAATAAAGTTTTATCTTACCTTGTATCATTTACAATGAAATCCTAATTATTAGTTTATTATATTTGTAATGCTGATATGCAATTAAAATAGCAATTACTCATGTCAACATTGCTTTAGGTGACGTGCTTCCCAGCACTGTAAACAAGTTGGACTATAAGTAGCACAGACATTCACTTTTACTGCAGGGCAAAGAGCACTGAAAAGGAAAGTGTAGCTCAGCCAGCAGGAGGTAGTTTCATGTAATTTTAGGTTCAAAAACTTTTGCAGACGTTGTCAATTTTATATATAAATACAAGAGTTGAACTACTAATTGATTTCAAACGGAAACTGCAATATGAAGCAATGCAGTTAGCAAATCACAATGGCTGAACTTTAGCATATATGTCATGCAGTGTGTCTGTCCTGGGATTTTAACTGTTGTGTTAATGGTTTTAGAAATTTGTGTGACAGTCGCACTTTTGATGGCGTCTCCTGTGGTAACGCTCCATCACGTGTCCTAAATCTATTACACAGTTAGTGTTGAAGTATGACTTTAAAATATATATATTGGACATCAAATCGCAGTATCTGTCATAAAAATAATAATTCGATGTTTTTCCCAAATTGTCCACCACTTACAAACATATAGTCAGAACTTATAAAAACAATAATATGGCAGTAAAAACAAACATTTTAATTTAAGTACTTTTCTCCTATAACAATCCATTTTAGGACATGTACAGGATTCTCCATAGCCTATTCAAACTTATAAAGCACAAGATTTTTACGTTCATGATACATTAAAAATATAATTTATCACACAGGCAGCTCATTATACAACAATACTCATACAGTCATAATGTTTAAATTCTACCTTACAGAGCACAAGAGCATTTTGCAACCCACTTTATGTTAATAAGCTATGGCACTATATTATGTTAATGCAGCAACAAGGCACATATTATTTGTTAAAAGTTGTCATTTGGGAGTCAGTGAACAACTCATGAGAAACAACACTGTTAGATAAAATGACAAAGTGCTGAAAGAGGTAGAATGTGGCTGACAGGACATCGTCTCTTTCCTGGTCAATATATGGTCAGCAGTCTTTTTTTTTTTTTTTCAAATTTTCTTATGAGATGTTTCACCAGCGATTTCCAAAAGAAGAACCCTCTGACCCAAAGTTCCTGTTTTTTAAGTAGCGCTTGACCTCCTCCAGCTCGGATGGCCCGAGGCTCTGGTCGACCCCCGGCATGAGTTTGTAGCTCAGAGGGGAGATAATGTAGCCGTTGCGGTAAAGGCAAACCTGCTTACACATCTCGAAGCAGGTGAAAAGAAGGCCAAAGTAGGGAACAATCTGCGAAAGGATGACGACAGGTTTGGAGAGATTAATGTACTTAAATGTAACGCAAACACTTAAAGTTAATGATCTCAAATGTGATTGTAAGTCTTGATCACAGATCAACACAGATTTAGAGAGCACATAAACTTCAAATCACTTCAACCTTATGCTAAACAATGTACAGCTACGATGATATTTGCAGCTGTAATAGGAGAGTGGGGCATGCTGTTCCACCTTGCTCATGATACCCCTGCTATGAATTTCACACTGAACATTGCTTTCCATGCCCTGCCTCCCCCCTCCTCAGTCCTCCCCTGTTGACTGGGCCATGAGTTACAATCCTTTCACCGTCATAAAGTCACTCATGCTCCGCAGCATGTGCAGTTATTTCAGGTCCTACTTGTTTGTAACACAAGATCAGGCAGACGCACGATCAAATATACCAATGTATGCGTAAGCCGTACCTTTATTGTGTTTGCAGTGAGGCCATTCCACAGTGACAGGATGCCCTTGTTTCTGACAACCTGCACGAAACAGTCCATCATCCCAGTGAAATGGACGTCAGCTCCACCGACGTGGGGAAGACGGGCACTCTGCGCCTGAGGAAGCAAAAATAAGCATCAGTGAAGCAGCAAAAAGTGCCAATAAAGTAATAACTGGAAAGGTCAAGTGAAGCCTGATAGGAGGCAATGCTGCTAAATTCTGTGCTGTGTGTAATTTCATTATTATTTATCAGCAGAAGTAGTGCAGTAAAGGCAAAATGACCCTTCTGTCTCTACTGCAGGGCTACAACTAGAATGTACTTGATTAACCACAAGATACATGCCATTGTGTGTGTAGTAGGAAGTCAATAGAATCAATCAGATAAATATAAAAAATGCATACATTAGGAGGACACAGATATTGTAATGTAAAGACATGATAAAATAAAAAGCAATGACTATAAAGTAGCATTAAAGACTGAGGTAATTATTTACACAAGTATGTCATGTGGTACTGAGTATGAATATAGCACAGACAATCACACACAAGACTCTTCCAGTGTGAAACTGTGTCTTGTGCTCTTTTGTTAACCACAAGCTCTGCAGAGTATCACGTGACAGAGAAAATGTATCTTCAGTTTCAGGGCTCTCAAAGGAAACATGCAGCAATATTTCATTTCATTCAAACAGCTTCATTTGAAGACAAGTTAAACTCTACTTTGCCTAAATTATTACCCTGAGCTTCTGCAGACATCCTCAGCTGGGTACCTATCATCCATTCTCTGCCCTACATTTAAAGTTTAACTCTGAGCGTTCACCTGAACTGAGACTGAAATAGTTATGTAACATTGTGTTTCATTGTAAAGCGACATCGCTGTGATGGTTCGGTGAACTTGGAGCTCACAGCTCTCGCCTGCTGTGTGATAGTGACTGGCTATCTTTAGAGAACTTATCTATAGCTTCTGCAGACCTGGGGCACATTCACATTCCCAGCTGCTGTTTGAACCTTGTGGTATCTAATAATAGCCTGATAAAACCGGATGTAGTATTCTGTCCTCTACAGCGCCATTGTTCCCCGCGCGTCCTTTCTGACGTACAGAAGACATCTCAGAGCTGATTTAGAGGGAACCTGGTGCAGATCGACATGTTTTTCAATGATCATAGGATTTTAACGCATATGTAGAAAAAACTGCCCTGATGTTAAAATCAAGCAAGGTGACATATTTTGAAGGGAACACGAAAAAGGCCTTACTTCTAATATTATTCTGATGTTCAAGGTTCACTTTCCATGTTTAAAAACATTGAACGGCCAAATAAGGTCAGCCTGTCTTTAAGCAAAGCACCACTGCCCTCTAACGGCCTAAATCTGGTAATGCAGCCACAACACAGGCTCTTCTCTGGAAACCTGCTGCTTTATTTCACAATTATTCAGTGGTAGATTGATTTCAAGAGGAGTAGTTGTTTTAATTAAAAGAACCACTACATTAGCTTCAGCTTTTCCTTTAAATAAAACAACTAAAAGCCAAAAAAAACCTCGGCTGTTATTCACTGACTTAAAGGCAATTCTGTTAAATTTGGATGTCAGCTCAAGTCACCATGATTTATACAGAACAATTAAAACAACGGATGTTAAACTAAAGTGGTCTCCAGTACAGGCATAAGATTAATGTCAGAAATTTCACCTTAAATTTAAACTTTCCCTGTAAATGTCTGACATGAATTTTATATTTCATTTCTTCTTCTTCTTTTATATCATTTATTAATATAGCTTATTTCTAAATAATATTATATGATGAAAGTTTAAAAGTTTGCCTGATTAATTTAGAGATTAAAGTGAAAACTGTACAATATTAGATATCACATTAAATTACCTGACTAATCAAAACATGTGTATGTTTAGTCCCTACAGAAATACAAAAGGAAAAAAACAACAAATCCAAATTCCAGATGAGCAAACACTTGGTGATAGTGTCATATTTTTTGATTAATTTGTATAATTTTGTGTTCTAAATTACTGAAATCCTTATTTATTTATTCTTTCTGTCTTTTTTTTTTGCTTTGTTTTTAAACAGGCTCATTTCAGTCAAAGAACGACATCTCACATACAGAAGAAGAAGAAGCAGCAGCGTTCTGGTAACTTACTTGCATTTTCCGCTTTACAGTTTCAAAAGGGTATGACAGGGTTTGAGCCACTCCTGCTGCCAGACAACCATTAATGAAGTTCTGCAGGGGAGTGAAGCGAAAAGCAGGCTCCTGCCAGAGCTTATCCAAGTTAGTGTAGACGGCATAACATCCGACAGAAAAGGGAAAAGCACCTGCAGGCAAATAAAACGTATTGCAAGTTACAGTAAGACGCGTCATCAGTGAAATGTGTAGAGCAGGAAGTAAAGATCAGGTTGATATTTTATATTTTAGTTCACTACATCACCAAAAGCTACATGAGAACAAGACTTAGAGAGTGAAAAGTAGAGTTATTTTAACAACATTAACATCTGATATCTCAACACTACTTATAAGATATAAATTCATTTGAATGAATGTGAATACACACCCACAACAGTGAGAGAAAATCCCCTGTAGAGCGCGAGCAGCCCTTCATTCCTATAGATCTTTGACAGCGTGTGAGCTACGCTGATATATGTGGGCTGTCTGCAGTTCTGAACGATAAGTCTGGTCTCTGCGACCTCCAGAGGATACGTAGCCAGAGCAGCAGCAACGCCAGCCAGTCCACCGGCGAACAAGGCCCTCCACTGAGAGATGAAGCCCAGCTCATCCATTTGAAGGAGGACTATGCTGCACACAGAGGAGGGCGATACACAATCAATAAGCATTTACTGTAGGCAATTTTCTCACACTGTAAACATTCAGTTTCAGTTATATTTGTTAGCCTCTCAAATCATCAGGGACCTTCTGCTCGACTGTCTTGGATTTACTTGAAACTTTTTTTAATCATCAAGTGTGGATATATAAAACTGTCTCTGTCAAATTTCAGGTTAATATATCAAGTACTTTGTGACATATTTATTATTTTTAATTGTCCGTCGACCCACTTTTAGCATGTTTTTTTTCATGCATTGAAATTTGAGGCTATGTTTGGATGACATCTCAACAACTAACGATGAAAGCCTGAAATATATTTAATCTGATGCACTTCTGCGTGTGAGACATTAGTGGTAAATTTATTCTTATCATCACTATGGAAACTGTTTGATCAGATACAAATGGATTCTTTTGCTTTGTGTTCCATTAGGAATAAACTTTGTCTTCAAGATGAATGTCACAAGCAGGATGGGGCACAGAGTGTGAAAATGTATATGTTCTGTTATTGCTATATCACATGAATTCAATAAGTTTAACAGTAAGATAACAGTTCAGTCCATCTGTTCAGGCTACAAAGTGGAGTCTGAAAATAAAAACCATGCATGCGTTAAATTAAAACTATTGTGAAACTCCAGGACTTGATAAGGCTTTCTAGGAATATTTTTGTTTTTGTGATACAGAGTTTCATACTTGCTTAATCAATTATGCCAGTTCAACAAAAGAACTTTTTCTGTCTTTTTTATGATCAAATATTTCATATTCGAAAGTATTCAATGTGTTTCTGTCTGTAATATTGTAACATGTAACTACATATAGTTCAGAAATTATATGTAGGTGACATTTGCATTATCAGTTGTATTGTTAATGTGTGCTTTTTATGACAACTTTTCTTTTTTGTTTGGATCATATTTCAACTCTTTTATTTACTTGACAAATATTGCAGAATCAATGATATGATGACAACTTACAAAAAAAACATCAGGCTTTTATCTTTAACAGAAAATAAGGATCTCATATTTGCTATATCAATCTAAAATGTCCCAAATATCTTTACAAATATCCATAGTTTACGACAGAAAACTTTCAGGCAAATCAGACATAATGATGCAGAAATGTTTCTAAAAAATGTAATAATTTGAGATTAAATGATCCACCTGATTAATAAAAATTAGTCACTCGGCAAAAAAAACAAAACAATTATAATAATAACAATATAATACATACTTCTGTAGGTCATCTATCAACAAAAA